CGCCATTCCGAAATCGCAGGAGGGTCGGTGTAATGCACTACCAAAACGCCCGTAACTAAGAAACAAATGCTAATTCGATGATGCCGGCTGGCACACTGATTCACTATGAATGTAGGCCGCACCCCCTAGCGGCAGAAGCTCGTGCTACATCCGGTTCGCCCTCTATTGACACAGTCTTTAAACTTTCCGATCGCACCTCGTACTATTATCTACGTGTTAGGCGAGTGTATGATTAAGTTTAAGGACGCCGTTTCAAGTCTTACGGTCATAATAAGAACGAATTAAACTGGAAGGTGTTTATTTTCTGCAATCTTTATACGTCTGTATCCTGTTGCGTTAATGTCACAATTCGTTTTCTTGTTTTAATCGGTAAATTCTTTACACGAAATTTCTTCACTTTCTTCGATTGGTACAATGGTGCAGCGAAGTAGTGAGACGTCGGTCTTCAGTTCTAGTGAAACACAAGTGACTGAATAAAACAAGTCGTGACTATGTCACTCTAAATATTTGTTCCCGTACAGAATGAGGGATGAAGTGGCAAATGACTGGAGAATTATGCACTGTGAGGAGCTTCGAAACGAAAAATTACTCTGCCAAATATTAATAAGAAAAGTAAAGTGAGTGTTTAATGGCGGGGTATGTAGCACACATAGAAGATATAAGAAATATAAAATTCCAGCCGCATGGCTTGAATTAAGGGGACCACTTGGAGACATAGGCTCAGAAGTTATATTACCAAAGTATCGGCAATAGAGTGTCAGAATGAAGATGGCTATCTTCAGGGTTGTCTTCGGACCCGCCGCTGTTAAAACATAAAACCTAGAGTGCGAAAATGTTGACTGGATTCATATGGGCCAGAGTAATTGCCAGTAACAAAATTTGTGACCACTGTAATTACAATTTTGGTTCCATGAAAGATAGGAGTCTCTTCACCACCCAGCTGATTATAAGGATCCGAAAAAGACTTCTGCTTCAGTCATTTAATTGGACACAGAACGGAGCAAAGTGGCCTGAAAGCCTCGCAACATCGGCATCCGAAGAGCCAAGAACCCTGCCAGACTTCGCCAGACTGATCTGAAACATACCCCACCCAAACCAGCTTCTACGCGCAGCAAGCACGATAAACTTGGTTTACGTTCCTAAGAGAACGAAGACTAAATCATACCACAAACTCTTAGTATAAATTATTTGCTAGAGTTATGTTGTCACATTTGTATCTCAGTATTGGGAAGCAGCTCTCTTCACTTACGGTTCGTACATGTGGGCCTCAGGGTAATATATCTCATTAACAGAGAAGCTGTGTCGACGTAAATATACTTCCTCCAGGGGGATGAAGTTTCAATAACATGATTACAACAAGGAAGTCCAACGCTGGTAATCGCGCGTGCATCACAGGGATCAAACCGACCACGATGCAACTTAGTATAACACGTAACGCAATTATACTACGGAGTTTCTTATATTTTACTAAATATAAATTTAAACGTTATTTCATGTTAATTAAGTATTATTTCATTATGCTACTCCATTTCGCATAATTCAAATTAGCGCTTGTAGTTCGTACATTTGTCTTATTTCAGTAAACCGCTCACTTTCAAATATTCTTTCTTCCCGATATCCCTTTCATATTCTTTGGTTTTTCTTTTTGTATTTCCTTTTCTATTCTTCATTTTCATATGTTCTATTCACACAGTATACAAAACAAATGCACAGTGGTAAGAATCTAGCCTATAAGAAAGAAATTGTAATAATATATTTTATATAAAAGTATGGATAATGCCTATGCAAAATTTTATAAATGTCAGAAAAAATTATACAGAAATGTATACTTTATGGTAAGATATTACCACTGGTCATATATATAAACTGGATTTATAAATAAAGATGTAGAAATGTTTACGCTTGTAGAACAAAACAGTCCGGACACTTCATATCCAATACTACCCGCTGGATTTCGATTAATTTGATATTGTGGGTTTACACAATTATGAGACTATTTATTGCTTTTCTCGGCGATTATAATATATTAAAGTTCACCAAGATGACAACGCTAACTAGAATTCTTCATACCAAGACAGCAAAACGTTTGATGATCAAATAATTGATTCATGATTTCAGGCACGGAATTGAAGGCCGGACGTGTCTGTTGAGAACCATCTGCGAAGTAGCAGAAACACCTTTACACCACAGTGGACTTGTCGGAGAACTAATGCATGTCATGCTTACGTACGTATGCAAAGAGCCTTTGCTGCATCATGCCTATTTCCCCAGCACGCTTTCTGAACGCTCGAAGCGTTACGTATAAATCTTTCCATACGAATAATATTTCAAGTCACGATTCTCATCACAACCAATTTTCTGAGCGTGAGTTAAGTTAAAAAAAATAACAGCTAGGAAAGACGCGTATTTGTAAAAAAACTTCCAATTACCAGAATATTTAAAAAAACAAATATTCACCCCAGTAAATTGTCAAGTACATTTTATTAGACAATTAATTCCTTGGAAGAGTCCTTCTAGAGAAACCCACAGGACCCTGAATTTGTCAACAAATTTCCCAACTGTTTTGGAACCAGAAGGTCCATTTCTGCTTTCACCAGAGCCTGCCAATTCCGAGGCCGATTTCTTATACCCGCCCAATCAAGAAGTAGGTGACTACTCCTTTCCGGTTGTACTCGACAGCTTATTCAATATCTTCTCACCTGCCCTCTATAATCGAAGTCCGTCCTGTTAAAATGTAACAGGGTCAGATATACAGCGGATTCCGGTTAAATGGGCCATCGGTTAATCGGGGTAGCCGTTTATTCGGGGCAATTCTTAAAGAACAAATCTCTTTAACTCTTTACGTTGAACTTCGCATAATTGGAGCAAAGTGTTCTAGTCCCGACATGTTCCAATTAACCGGAATTCACTGTATATTGAATATGAAGAACACACGCGAGTTGATGACTTCATAATTTTCAGTAAAGCGAAACAACCAAAATGGTGAACCGTAGATTTGAAGAAATTAAGGAGGTGTACAATTACGCTAAGCTTGAATTTACGTATGTTTTGTATTAAGAAGGTATGAATAAGTAAAACGCGTTTATCGGTATGGTCGCATTGCAGGAAGCAAGTTTCAATTGCGTCTATACTTCAGTAATTGCATGTTTTATTGGCAGACCTGGTTACGGTTCCAACATGGAAGAAGTGATCGATTCGGATTATCACGAAGCACGTCGCCTCGGAGCGGAAGGAGTCGATTGTCACAAAGCCTACCCTACGTGTCCCTTCGGCCATGGACTACTAGATCTCATATCAATGGTCGATAATTAACGCAAATGGACGGTTTCACTCGTCTGCGTTCTTCCAGACTCTATAGAACGAGGAAGGACAGCCAGGATGGTTCAGTTTCACGGCGACAGAACCTGGGAACGTCGAGATAAAAATTAAGTGAAAGATACGGTTTCAAGTATTTGCACTGGCCCGCTAGGAAAACGATATCCCTCTGATGACTGATAATTGTTTTTCAGTTGTATTTACAAATAAATAAATATATGAAGATATCCGTCTTCTGGGATATATTTTTGTAACTACAAGACTAATTTAATAAAAATATAGTTTGCCTACGAACGCCTTTTGCTTGTTAGCTATGTAGAAATAAATGTAATCAATTACATAACCGTATGAGGGAATGTAATAACGTTGAATAATACTGGAGAAAAGTTATAATTTTTTATGAAAAATAATTTGGACATGGGTGATACTGGCATATATTACGAGACTGTTCTGGAAGTTTCTGGGTGATGGTGGCCTATTTTAACACGTTATACCACACTGTGCCTGGAGGAACAGAGGTCTTCCCGGACAAAAATCTGGAAATTTATCGGTGAGTTCAAAAATTAAGTAACATCTGGATTCTTTTTGTGAAGCTAACAGTGATTCAGATAGTCAAGAAATTCTCCACCTTTATAAAGAGCAAAAAGTTTAATAACTTTGTTCATAACAACCCGCAACCAGACCCAATCCTGAGTCATTAGAGACTAATATTCATTCTAATAATATTTTCCCATCGCTTCTGATTTGGGTCCTCGAGCTTTTGCGACCAAAACGTGAAAAGAGTTTGTGCTCAGATAGCGTGCAGTACACCTAACAATCTGCTTATGCACACGAATTCCACGAGTCCAAAAGTATGGTTCATTACTGCGCACACAAACGATTTCCGTTTTCTTTAAGATAATCGGTTAAATAATTCGTTCATTTGTGGGTTTACAGGTTCGTCAATTTCTTTGACAATATGCGTCTTCAGATACATTCATCTCAAAATGGCTAAGTAGCTGTGCAAAGTCATGACAACCAAAATATTTCTTGTGTTAAATGTGCGCTTCATATATCTCATAGAGCGCCGAACTTAAAATTTCCCCACTTCGATGTTTGTTGTAATGATAAATATACACAGTCAGTGCGAGAACGTTATGGTAATTGCAGTGAATTGGGAAGTCAAATACAACCTGAACCAGTCGTTGACGGTGAAGTGCATTAGCCTTCATTATTTGCTCCACTCAGAAATAGTACAAATACTCGTACAGCAGCATTTGAGCTCAACTTTCAAATCAACAAAGAAGACAATGAGGTATGTATGTGTTAAATTCACCTTTTTTTCATTTCGGTTCTGTAAGACGTCTCTTCGTAATTGCCAGTGGAACTACTAAGTGATGACTTTCCACAGAATCTGACCATTAAGTTGTAACAGAACTGTGTATTACGAATGAGGTAAGGAAAACATAACTTCAAGAAAAAAAATATATATAACAGATTAATCACTAGAATTAATTAGATTTTATTACCTGGAAATTGCATCAAAGTTTGTTCACGTCTCGTTCTTTGGACGTGAGAATATACCGGTTGTATTTTGACTGTCAGTGCCGGTAGCGGATATTAAGACCAAATGCATGGACAGCGAGAATATAAAAATGAAGTAATACTGACCGAGTCACTTCTTTTATTGTGGACATAATATATAATATTTCGAATACACTAACATTCCTTGTGTTTGCTGTAGGACGTATCATTCAAGAAAAATAGTGTTTGTGGCACTAATACTGTGCTGTTGGTTACCTGCACACGCTAACAGAAATGCTCGTGCTTTAGTGTACCCTAAAGGCGCTACGTACAAGGTAAGAAGTTTTGGAATTTCATTCACAGTACAATAATTTGTTATGAATAGCTCGTGCTCTTTCAATTTAATCGCCTCGTTAACTGCAAAGATATCACCTCTGTCAGTTGCTACGTCAGAATCTGCAAATAATGTTACGAGTGTAATGAAGGAATTTATGAATAAACATTTTAATAACTTTTCACATCGTGATTTTCTAAAGATTCGTGGCAAATGTTTGCTCATTATATCGAATTAATGTCGTTCTTTTACCACCAATATAAGTATCTGGTACATCGATAAAACAGATAAAATATCAAATAAAGAATTAAATGTTTTAAAGTCGTAATTAAATAAAGAATATTAGTGTTGAAGATCTAGTGCCAATGTGTCGATAATCGACATGTGAAATTCGCAGCTCCATCCATACACATGCCTAATGGCACACCACTTAAACAACTGAATATCGATAGCAGCATGGAGCATGTGGAGTTGTCGCAGAACAAAAATAATATTTCGAGAAACCAAGAATAATAAACACGTACTCGTACTCAAAAGCACAGACGTTATTAAACGACAACTTTCAGATGCTTGTATTTTCTACAAAATTAATTCAACATGTTACACATTTGGAAATATTTAATTCAATTCCCTCCGTATATTTCTGTCTCATCAATCTCATTAAAAACGGGGAACCGATTATTCAATTCAACTGCCATGATGATGGAGGCAGCAAGTACCTCTGAGACGTCGGTAAATTTCTGCAAATCTGCAAAGAGCAATATTCCAGGAAACATTTATCGCCTTGAGAACCTGAAATCTCACCGACTGTCGAGAATTTGTGGTCTGGTACTTTTCTGGGACCGCTGCTTACCGTTCGGAGTTTTGGGCGGGTACAAGAGTAATTAATATTTTCGTGGATAAAATCTTCCCGGGCAACAGGCCGCGTGGACAAAAATCTCCATCTCCAGGGAATGGTGGAGGCACAGATCATCCCAGAAACGTTGGACTTTTGTCCACAACCGACACGGCTTGTTTTCCGAGAAGATTTTACCGACTTTAGTCGCCAGGATAGCTTCAAGACTTATATAATCTCATTCTGTCTTTTTATAGAAAGTGAATCTCCACCCGGACCACACCAATTACGGTGCCTTTAACAACCTTGAAAGAAGGTAGCACTGCAGTCTGTGACAATGTTTATCTTTCTTGTGTCTTCCAGTTTAACATTGGTATGGGCTTCCCTATAGATTTACCACAGAAGATACTGTCGTTTTCAATGAATTTCCAGTTTCAATATACAATGCCTACGAACTTCAGTCAGCTGAAAGAGTACCCTGAGCTGAGACGTTCTTTCCGGGAGACACTGGACAGGAGTTCGTCCTACCTGTCACTCGAGAATGTAATGGACAGGTGAGTTATTCAATGTCAGCGGATCACTTTGTACTCACCGAGGAGATTCAACTTTACGTTGTTTTCGGAAAATGAATAACACGCAGCGAAAAATTTAATGCTAAAGCTCCGAATGATATATTTCCGTAGGAAACGGCTTCACTAACATTCGGAAAGATGCATACATAACATTTATGATTCTTCCAGTGTTTTTATTTAATATTTAAATACTTTAAAATTAAGGATATGATGATTAATCAGTTCACTATGTAAGATTTGAAAAAAGAAACTTTTGAAAAAGAAGAGAATGTACTAATAACTCCGAAGAGGGGGGCCTACGCGGGAGTGAAAGGCTTCTTTTTCTTTTCTTTTCTTTTCTTTTTATTAGGGTAGCTAGAAAGAGACGAAAAGGGAGCATGTAAAACCGAGGATGAGGTAGAATAGATGTGGAGAGACATACGCGAAATGAAGAAGTATCTCAATTGAGATAATGGGCATGGAAAGAGGCTGGGAATGGAAAGAAATGGATTAAAATTGAGAGTGGGCTAGAGCAGACTTGAAAATGCACACGAAAGCGAGAGGTAAATCGACTGAGTGAGAGAGGACAAAGACTTTCATGCGAGGAAGGTGAAAAATAGCTCACTCGAAACTGAAAGTGAAAAAGAGGGGGTGAAAAATTGTGCTGATGGATTTCTTCATCCCGAAGGTTGCATCTAGTTTCCGTTCCAGATACAATCGTGCTGCAGTCCACAGTGATGGAAACGTTCACTGCAGTTGCCTCGCTAACAGTGGAAAAGTATATAAAGAGCTGAAACTTCGTCGAGACCCCCAATGTTTAGAATACGGCATTAATTACGCAATGGTTTCGTTACAGTCACGGTTTGAAAGGCAGAAGTTGTCTCCTAAGAAGTATATGTGAAGTTGCAGAGACACCCGTATACTACAACGGACTAATAGGGGAACTACTTCACGTCATATTTACGTAAGTAGCCTTAAACATATTTAGATATTTGCCATCACAGTATGGGAAGAATAAGACATTACATCACATTACACCTCATTTTGGATTCGTAAGTTGCATGTAATATGTCTGTACTTTTTCACTGTCTGTCCGGGAGAATATTCGAGTAACATCCAACAAATACCTCACTGCCAACCATAATATTCCAATATAACACGTAATCACGCACATATTTTCATGCAATTATTATTATTATAACGTAAAGGCCATTTCATTTTTGTGTTTTTGTACAAATAGCGTACAAGTAACTAAAGATATCAGTCCGTTTGTCATGATCAATTTACGAAACATGTGATTTGACCTCTGTACCTACGCTAAAATTTATGGGGCTAATTTAATTTCGGTTTATTTAGGGTCAAAACAAGTTATACTTCACGTTAACCTCAAATCGAATTTTTACAGAGACATCACTGTATTGTAAAGTGTTTGTCAGGAATATTTTTGTTTACCTTGCTGGAATTTAATAAAATACAAAGTACTATTCTATACATTATGTCTCAATGTGTTATAATAGGCTAATCTGTGGCGTCCAATATCTTAGCAGTTACACACTTGTTCATCAGTAAATGGATAATTTCAATGAGTTGTAAAATCACAAAAAATACATTAGAATGAAGAGTGTATTTCAAGTTCAGTTCCGTTTTTACGTTTACATACTTGTTTGTTAACAGACCTGGATACGGATTCAACAACGAAGAACACTTGGAGTGGGATTATCGCGAGGCTCGACGTCTTGGAGAAGAGGGTGCTGACTGTCGCCAGGCTTATACAACGTGTCCCTTCGGCGAGGGCCTTCTAGACCTCATATCTGTGCTAGATACCTAACGCGACCCAAATTGCTGTAGGAACACGCTGAAACCATCGACAGGAATTCAGTCACAGACGTCAATGCCGCTTAATCAGCTGCCGGACGTCAAAATCATATTTACGGAAGCCATTTTAGCACGAGTGCATTTTATCATATCGGTTGGTTATGATTTTAATTAATCTCCAATGCAATGATTATTCGCGACGAAAACCAAATGTATTAAACCGGCAACAAAACCAGGGCGTTAAATAATCTCAAGCTTATTTTTTGGTAGTGGTATGCCCCATCACATGAGAACATAATGGAAACCGTCCTGACTCTGTGTGGGTTATGATAAATATAGTAAATCGTGCGAACGTGAAACTCTCATGTAGCAATGCCTACTTTCCGGACGAAATAATAAAATCAGTCAGTTGGGTCGAAACCTTCTTTTGTACATAATCAGTGTATAATATTAAGAAATACCAGAAGAAACAAATGTAAACGTTAGTAAATGCAAATATGTAACACTAAATAATGTATACAGCTGATGCAGTGGGCAGGATTGAGTGATATTCGTTGTTTTGTGTTCCCTCGTTCAGCTTTCACGGATGCCAACTTATATTCTGCAGTTGGACAAGCATCAGCAATGAATCGCCCTGATGACGGAGGCAGTAAGACCTTTGAAACGTCGGTTAACATCGACCATACTACACAGAGCAACAACCCAGAAGACAGAAATCTTCATACCTTACGTTAGTCAGCTATGCTTGTGTATTAACTTGAATTCTGACCACCAAGCTGAAGACTGAAAATGGCTATCTTCTGGGATGTTACACACGCAGACACGTTTAAACTCACATTCACTGTTGCACTCATATACACTACAATTCGACCTTTCGCGTATCCACTGCTCGTCGAAGACTGTTCTGTCAACAAGGGAGTCATTTTTCATTATTATAAATCACCATATTAAGTCTCTAAGGTGATAATCTATACTAATGTGAGAATTTATGTGCCATTCGCCTACGGAAAAGTGTTGTGTTTTTCATTCTGTGTGATGAAGGCATCACAAAAATAGTAATAATTGTTCTTAAGAACTGTTAATTCTAATTGCAATAAAGGTTTAATCAAATTACAGTTACAGCTTTCATTTGAGACATTCTGTATTTCTATATTTCCTATTAATCATTAACGACATTAACTTAAAGACCCCAAACTTTTTCACATGGTTCTATCATTCGCTGTTTCACTGAAACTGGATCCTTTGTTCTCGGAACAATAATACTGAAATAATTATGAATATATGAAGATAAATTAACAGCCCTGATCAAAGAGGTATTTTTGTGTTAATTTCTTTGAAACCGATGTAAATATACGCGAATAACAAACTCTTCTCGCTTAGGCAGAAATTTTGCAAAGTTTTAACGAGTTAATACAAACTTTAATACAACTCTGACAACGCCAAAATTTGTAACGAAATCTACTGCTTGTGCCTGATTTACATTAAGAGGCGCTACAATTACGAATACCAGAGAGAACCTTCAATAAACGATTATTTCGACAATGTTTTATAAAACTATGAGATCATACACATAAATCAGTTAATCATACTCAAAAACAAATTTACTGTCCGGCAAAATGTATCCGCTATAAAGATTACATTACACATAAGGAATGAGACACCAAACTTTCCTCGAGGAATTTGTCCAATTTAACAGAACTATATATTATGTTCTTATTTTAGAACCTTTTTTGAGCATACATGTCGTACGGAAACGAACCTGTCATTTTTAGTAGAACAACTTAGGAAATGTGCGCACAGGGTAAGCGTGTTTGAGCTCTTGCCATTTCTAACAGCGTCAGTGACGTCAGAGTTTTTCGAGGTATAAATAATTTTACCCCGAGCTAAATTCTTCCGCTCCTGCAGCAGCTCTTAAAATTTTATTTTTCTGAGATGAAAAAGGGTTACAAGTAGATTCTTCTTTACATATTTAATGGTATCAGAAGAGCTGCACGGCTGTTGCAGTTGGAATAACAGTTACAAAGAAGAGAACATTTAATTATGTTTACGTACTTAATCTAAATCCGAATCATCAAATAATTCAGGCTAAACGAGACAATTCTATTACATTAAGCTAGGAACTATGGGTTTCTAGACTACGGACGATAAAATTATGTGTTGCGTTACCAAGGTATATATTTTTTATGTAACAAAATAAACCCAAGACGTATTTATTATCTTACGTAAAGTGGATGTTAAAGCTGTCAGATCTTAACGAAAATTGAAACAGCTCTACAATTTCGGGCAAAATTCCCCGAAATAAAATTTAATGAAAACCGATTTATCCGACTAAAAAGAGCGAATTATTCGATTCCTGCTTGCTTTTTCAAATTATATATTACATTGACCAAATAATTAATTTAGAGAGGAAAAATAAAAAAATCTAAAACAAGGCATTGTACCAGAAGTCTACGGGCAACTGTTAACATCACTTAAACTATCGACTGTTCAAATTCTTTGAAATGAAAATTTTAGGTACAAATATTTCAGCACAAGATTCATTACTTCAAATTAGACGTTTCTCATGTTACACGGGTTTATCATATCTGATTTGATCTAAATTAACGGTAATATTGTGTATGTCATATATTTTAAAAACATGGGTTATGCTCAAAATCTGAAGTGAAAATGAAACCACTGCCACTCACCTAAGAATTATGAAAACAATGGATAACTTCTACGCTTAAATAACATAAGTTTTATCATATATGTTATATACATCATAATATAGTAGAATATATCAAGACATTATTGAGAGTGGTGAATTATTGTGTATTTAATGGAAATTACTTGGTAAGATATAGAGTTATAAATATTAAATTAAGGTTAATGATAATATTTAAATACCGAAGCAAAGTTTGTTTTGTTTTTATATTGTCTGATAATCTCGAAACTACAAATATATGAGAAGATATTAATCAAACAAAAAACAGAATGATAATCATTTGTTAAGTTCATTTCCTCCCATCCTGCATGGGCGTATAAGCTTGAAGCCATGTTTCCGCTCCATCATACGTCTTCGTTGTTTGGTCTTAATTAAGAACCAAGGAAGAATGCGTCCATAGGGACACACACGCGTCCAAAGAGACAGTACATCTATCAACATGGTGGTTTGAAATTTAGAGATTATTTTCATACATACATCTTTCAACTTTCTGATTCGCAACATTTTAAAATAAAAGGGAAGCTAAGGTAAATATATAGCCTATTTTATTACTTTAATTTAAAATAATTTCAAGAAATGTCAAATTGCAAAGGTTGGAATTTGTATGTATCAGAATTAACAGTAGTTTCTCATGTGGGATTTCGGTTGGTATTACAGTGAACTACCACCTTCTTAATTAGGAATACCACATTTCATCTTTTTGAAATTAATGGTCGATATGTAAAGTTTTGTATCCGCTCGATTGAATCACTTTTGAGACATCTAACAAAAATCGAAATCGAAATCGAAGGTGTAGTCTTCAGTGTTATAGAAATTGGACAGAAAGTAAGCATGTTACATGAATGTTTCTCCTCAGAGGAAAGTTCTGCGACCTAGAGGACAAAACTTGAGCTCATTTAAAGGTTAATCGTGTATACACAAATGTTTTGAGGGGAACAAACCGACACAAGCAGACTTCCGGTTTTTAAAAGTGCACAACCGAACTTACAGTTAATGTAACGCTCCCATAACAGTATTCCAGTGAGATGCAAATCACGTGACTTGCCCAGCGTCCTCCGTGTATTACCATGCTGAATAATTTTAACTATGTATTTCACTGCTTACAACACGCGCATGTGAAATGACAAATGTAAACACAGCGGAGCAGTCAGTCACGAAATCTCACACGTTTCACAGAGTTCAAAATTATGTAGTCTTCAGCAACATACAGCTCTAGGGAAGTTTTCGTTTCTCGGCTTGTATATGTGCATAATATTTTGACATTATTACAATTTATTAAAATTATAATTTATTGTTCCTGAAGATGAATCGTCTGAAGTTTGAAAATACTGAAGTGATTAACGTGTTGTGACACTGAATATAATTATGCAAAACAATATAACTATTCTTTTATTAACATTAATTACAATGGGGACACTTTCGGAAGTGTCATGTGACAGCAGGACTCATCGAATTAAGAGACGAATTGTGTTCATCAAGGGAAGCAAGTTCTTTGTGAGTGTTAACGATTAATTAATTTTAAACTTGATGCAGTTTTTGCTGGTAATTAAAGGGTTTAAGTGAAAATTCTGAAACGATTGAAGAAGTAAGGATGTTATTAAATAGTAAATAAGATAAAGAACCACACAAAAACTTAGCCTAGTCTTATAAAAAGAGAATAACCATGTATAAAGTGTTTATAAAAGCACCAACTACCCTTAAACGAAGCGTCTGCTACTAAGAAACTACCTATATTATTCAAAATTTAATCTCAACATGAATCATTTACTTTCGTAGCTTCCACTAATCTTATCGACGTCATGGTAAAATATTTCTATGCGTTCTTCAGAAGCTATAAGCACTGTCGGATTATTGACATGAAAGCTGACATTTTGGCAATGTTTTTAAAACTTTTTCGACCCCATAAAATATTTACATAATATAAATTCTTAGGCCGTAAATTTTCGGTCATAAACATTTCAAGTAGTTCATGTTCACAGTGCTGGTTAAAGTAAAGTTTGTCCCACTATACGCCATGTAGGCGTTTGGGGGTGAGAGGAGGATAGCTCCTCTCTTCCTTGACCCCGGCACTAGATGGGGGTGAGTGGTCAGCATCACGCCCCGGCCGGCTTTACCCCCGGAAAAGGACCCCGGTACCCATCGGATAGGAGGCTGGGTGGGCCCCAGAGCCGGTCTGGACGCAGAGGCTAGAGGAAAAATCCTCTGCCTCCGTCGGGGATCGAACCCCGGTCGTCCAGCCCGTAGCTAGTCTCACAGTGCTGGTAAATATTTAAAATATCTAGTGAAAAATTTAATCATAAAAATTAGTAAATCGATCACATTTGGATTTAATATATAGAACATGTCAGTACGCCGTTCATGGTGCTATAACGTACCTAGAGCTGCATTATACATACGTGTCAACACTCAATAACTTTATATAATGGTCCAAATATTATTTTATATAAGCACAAGCAGACAACAAGAATGGAAAATTGTACACCACGAACTCGTATAACACAGTTTCTTTCTCTTGTCAGATTCGTCTGAACTTCAAGGCCAACACTCTTCCCTATACGGCAGTCTTCGCCTATGCTGCAGGTTACAAATTAAACTTTGACCTTCCGGAAGACGCAAAGACTGGGCCATTCCGTATTCATCGGAGATCCCTTTACGAGAATTTTGAAACGATTATAGATGAGTATGTAAACATGTACTCCTATTTTTGTATTACATACGAGTTCAAACATCCACTTGATACGATAGAGTATCATTAGGACAAACAAGTTTTCATAAATTATTTCTGTAATAACCCTTTAAAGCCGAAGCTCGTCTAAATATTTTTAAATCTTACAAATCCTAACCAGAAAGAGAATTCTAACCGGTATCGTTTACGATCGAGAAGACCAATATCTACACCATATTTAAAAGTTGTAAATAAAAGTGCGTACTAACAAACGCTTGTATGTGCTTCTCTCATCGTAGAAACGGTCTCAACGGGAGGGTGTGTGTGCTGAGGTTTCTGTGTGAAGCATCTCAGTTAGTGATCCCAACAGACACCTTGTTCCAGAAACTGCTGAAACTCATATTCACGTAAGTTTGAAACTGAAAATGTAATAAGAAAATCTAAAGGAAAGAGACATTACGAGGAACAGGCGTACAAGTAGAGTGTGGTATTAGAATTAATCTTAAATACATAGGGCATGAGGGTGTTAGCTACATTCATTAGATTTATGGGATTCAGTACAATAATAAGTAGTGGATATGAATACCGCAATGATTTATCGGGTTGTGCAAAATTTCTTGACTACACGAGCAGTTGAAGAACAGAGGAAATAGACAAAAATATTAGCAATCTTCTCGGGCTAATCTTCTTAGGCAATCAGCCATGTCAGTTGTTTATAAATCACCGACGTCTCTGAGACCATCTTTGTCTTAAAACATCATAAATTCGATATGATGTGGATAATGTTTGTCTTCCTTCCCGAATATGGCGTGAGTACTCGTATGTGTCTCCAAAACGTTTGTATTTACCTACAAGTCCACTTGGCGTTGCAAAGACTTTTTCAATTTTTATTCAGATCAAAATATTAGTCTTAATCTTCATATGGGACTTAATCTATTGACTGATATATACTTTCGAGATAATTTTGATTTTATAATCTGTACAAGCTTTGGGACGTTTCATTTATTTTCAGGATTCCAGAAGGAGCGGAGCATACTGTCCTACCTTATTACGCGGAGGAAGACTGCAATAAGATGGCCGACGAGTGTCCGATTTCTTTCCTGCATATCATGAATCTCAAACCGAGCGAACAAATGTAACTTGCCAACTGTAATTACATGTTTTTTTTAAAGTTATGTATCAATAACAAAATAAATATTAAGACCAATCATAATATAAGAATAAATGCTTCCACCATTGATCATTCTTTTACCATATTCTGTTGTTTCACGCTAACAATTGGTTTTAACTCACACAGGTCTATATTAAATAAAGTGACAAGTGAGCATTTACTCGGAAAATAGTCCTAAAATCAATTTTTATATGTTTTTATTTCGAGAAAAAATAGAAATGTCAATATAACGACAATCATAAGAAGATGACAACAGAACCAATTCCTGACAAGCTGTACACCAAATTCGTGTGACAATCATTCACCTTTAGAGACATGAGATAAAATGATGGAGGTCAATGACCGAGTCCCCACGCCTCAACCACATCTCTGCTATCCTCAACTATTGAAAATACATTTGTACATACAGCGTTCAAAAGGGTAACAAACAGCTGCTCTTAATGAAGGAATAAAGACCTTGAGATTTACTTGTTCTGGGCAATAATAAAATACAAATAACGTTGATAACTCAGTTCATAATTATGCTATTTGGTCTTCACCTTCTACTTGCATAATGAAAAGTGGGAGACTAGTGTTTGCACATTCGAGGCTGGAAGTCGACATCCACAAGTCGCTAACGGAACCAAACTCTTGGTCACGTTCTGAACTTAAATACATCTGGAAAGTGGGGTTCTTTGCTCTCTGGCCGCCATTTTGCTCAGACAACAAACTCAAGTCGTGTTAAAAACTAAGCAACTACTCAGAAATTTTAATGCCCTTATTTTTTTCTAAACACGTAAAATACGGAGTCTATGTTAGAGACTGTGTTACAAGAAAAACATAAATGTATGTTCTATTCCATTGTTATTTTATGGTTTATTTAACAATTTCTTCAGTATTAATATTCCTTCATGGACGTCGTAATGGTTCTACAGAAAACAGAGGCCTTTTCTAGGGGACCGGAAACTTAGTGGGAAGGCGATGGGATTAAAAAAAATGCACAATTTCCTTGGTTCCCTCGTGTTTGGTGACACACTACCAGCTATCGTCTGCACAGCAGAGCATAACTATGGGAATTCTGCGCCCCGAGCGACTAACTTGTTTATTATTAACCACAATAACCACTGTCTAGCTGCTTGGCTTCAAAGTTATTCACAGCACTTAACAGAGTAGGAGCTACTAATTACTGCTACAGCAAACAATCAGCATGACTTCAATTAACATTATTTTTACTTGTGAACATGCTGTTGTTAATGAGGCTCATTTTTAAACTACAAAGTTTATCCCAGTCTATGCAGTTACTTTAGTGTAATACGTTCTGTACTGCACCAAGCGTACGAGATATGGGTGGCAACTAATTTTCTGATGTCACAAGAATACATCAAGGTTTGTAGAAGAAAGCAAAGGTATTCTGACTTATTCTAGATAAAATCATAAATATTACACCAACGTGTTTAGGAAAATAAACTAAGAATCTTAGTAATCAATTATCAATTATACAATATAAGCCATTGTCTCCTTAATTTTATGGATATTTTCATTTAATTTTCACATTTATTATTATCAGTATTAACAAATTCACCGTACAGAAATATTAGAAGATATTGATCCCTGAAACTCATCGGAGCTAGAATAATTTAGATTCTTATTGAAATTTCTATACTTATAAGTACGTATTTCATAAACAATAATATTTCATAATGAGAAAGAATACCAACTTATCTCATTTTAAATTAAGTTAACTTATTTCGTGAGACTTTAGTGATTAATAACATAATTTAAGAAAGTAAAATTATATTTTTAGATTGTGGCCAATATCCATTCATCTTTGTACCTTAAAACCGCGACACCTCAGACGTTTCAAAACTTTCCATGCATGAAATAAAAAAATAGTCTCTGAGTTCTTTTATTGCAAGTGGGCACTAAGCCTGTAAGTTTAATTTTGGCCTTTCTATCTCAAACGTAGCTTAGTCATTAGCCACTTAAATTATCCTACTAATACCAGAATTATTCCATTCAAAACCAGAACATGAGTCTCAAATCAATTGGGGTTTTCATCCTGATTTCCAACACATTATCCAGTGCCTTCAATTCCACATCGTCGGGCGACTCCCCAGTCAGCATGGGGACTTTATCCCGCAGAAAAAGGTACATTACTTTCCCACCCGGAAGCATCTTGCAGGTAAGTTCAATTAAACTAGATATAAATGTTTATTTCGAAGTAAATCACGTGAATTTAAGACATGCCTTTACTACACTAGTCTCCTTCGTCAATTACCATTAATTACGCTGCGGTTGAAAGTGAATTTAACAGCCATTGTAATGCATGCGTATAGATTTTAACACTTTGGAGCCCAATGATTATAAAAATATTTAAAAATTCAGACCTTACCTCAAAGTAAAAAAGCTCATTAGTTACTGGTTAATGCTGTTTAGGGAAGATATTGCTGTTTATTCTGAGAATCATAGAAACCCGTAAAAGCGTTCTGTAGGTAAAATTCAGAATTGTTTAAAGTTAAAGCAGGAAGTGCATAGAGTTACCATTAAATCTTTTAAAAAAATGCTTATAACAAGACCGAAAAGCGAAGATAATGTTCGAAATTCGACTTCGGATCAAATCCCTCCATTTATCTTGTGACATTATATTAGATATTAAAAAAATAGTCAGGAATATTTATTTAAATCACGTTAATTGCAAGAGAGTTTCAGAGAGAAAGCAGGCCGTTATAACACTGTGGCATCGTCTTCGTAAATCAGTGTAAAAATTGGAGTTTACGACACATAAATACAAACACTTTATTGTTTTAGGAACAAAAACATTCACATATTTGTTCTGCAAATAATAATAAATCTGTTTAAAACAAATAAGCATAATAAATTAATTAGTAAATAACAAAATAACTAAGTATTTCAAATAATAATAATAATAATTGCTAATTTTCTTTAAATAATAGTTTGATGTTTATTTCAGCTTGGATATTGTTTAGCTGTTCCGTCCCTCATCCCTGATGGTATATGGTTATACGGAATTACTTTTGGCACAAACTGGGAGATTCCTACTGATCCAATCGGCCTAAAATTCCCGAGAGAAGCCGAAGTGGTACATCGCAGACACAGGCGGGATCTGTATCAGAAGCTACTGCCCTTGCTGAACACGTGAGTAGGCCAAATCTAACCCATGGGTGCACGTGCAATTTGCACAAGAATTCTCACTAAACATATTATAACAAAATAACCATTTAAGACCGATAATATTTGGTGTGGTGGATTAAACCTAATGAATACTATTAGTAAATAACAAACCACCACCACAATAATAATAATAATGACTTTAATATATTTGACATTAAAAAAGTTTGCGTAAGGCGCTTGATCAAAATCAGCGAAGCAAATTACACAGTTGATGAGAATGATTATATTTCAGAGATACTTTTAAGAAATATTAAGGCGGAAACAAGGCGATCAGATACAATGACAGAAATAATGTTTATCAACATTTCATTATTAAGAGAATGGTGATTTTGAAACATAAAAATAATTCAGTGAAACTAATAAAATAATATGTGCAAATTGATAGTATTATAAATTATAAAATGACCGGAATAAAGTAAACCTTAGAATACTTATCCCATGTTCCGTTCAACAAAGACCTCACTCAGATTGACACGTACAAAACAATCTCTTAAAATCACTAAAATTCAAGGCACAAACTTAGTAAATGTGATAGCTGCAAACATTTTACACATGTACTGCGAGAAATACGAAGGCTAGCATCATGAAATCCAATTTATCATTCACAAAATTGCAGTCTATAAAGTAACGGTTAAATGTCTTTTGTGATATGCCAGGATGGGATTGGATGGACAGTCGTGTCTTTTGCGGGTACTGTGCGAATCAGGTCAGCGCCAATCTGGACCCAAAGGATCATTTCTAGAAGAGATTCTTCATGCCATATTCACGTGAGTGTAATTCGCGATTAGTAGTCATAGCACCGAAGGTATTTTGGCCTTGGCATGTAATAATCTGATAATAATGAAATAATATTAAAACAATATATAATTTTTGTTTTCAGATTACCACGAACTAAAACGAATTATTTAGAGGATGATGATGATGAAGATGACTTCGCCAAATACGAGGCTGCGCACAGATCAAAGGGCGACTGTACGGCTTTGTTCCCTTCTTGCCTCAAAGATCCGGATGCATCCTAATGCAGTTTCATCACGTGACAAAAGCAACACGCCATTACTTATGATATTAAACGCTAATGCAACATTATCTTAAGGCAAATGAATTACTACACGACTGCACTTTTGTCAATACGTTTCAAAATCTTTCAAGTAAATTAACAAAATGATAACACAAGGAATATCGCAGAAACAGTAATACATGCCAATAAATAAACTGGCCTAGGAGTAAATTCCATGCAGGTGAATATAGGAAACACCACACGAAATAAAAATTAGTAACAGATTTATAATAACCTATAGCAACAAATAATTCGAAAATGTATCGGCTATTTAAATGCTAAAGAGAATACATTTTTGACATGACTCTAATTATTAGGCGCTAATACTGTTTATCATCCAAATACTTTCCGAAAAGCTGAAGAAGGTGACAAACACATTGATAATTTTGTCATTGTGGGTATGAAAAGTTGTCTCTTAGCTTGAGTGAAGACTAAAAATGACAGACTTCAAGACAAAAGTTATTAGGAACAACACATAACGGCTCTGTCCGTTGTTTCGTATAAAATGTTCAGATCTGCGAAGAATTTATGTGAAAAGATTATTGTATCTTACTGTACTTAATCAAGCTTTCTCAATTATACACGTAACAAAGTATGAAATGGGAAAATTATTTTAAAGAATACGACCGCGGCATATTTTAAGTACGTTATCAAGAATTTTTATGACCGACTGAGCAAATCAATGAATATCTGTCAAATAAGCGAGTCTGTGGGTAGTTCCAGATTTCAAAGCACTTGTGCTAAGAACTACTTCACAAAGTTCCCAGTTATGGTGTACGATACGGAACAAGATTAAATTCGGCACAGATCCTTTCTTACAATATTCCTGCATCAAAACTGCCATCGAAGCAGCACTATAGGAGTAGAGACATACATCTGACTCAGAATGGATTTTTTGAAGACTTAAACCAACTTTTGACTTCGTTTATTATTGTGAATTATTAGAGGAAAAGATAAGAAGAAAAAAGAAACAACAGCATAATTTTGCTAGAGAAAAAAGAATGCTATTTCCATTCAGATGCATGCTACAAAACAGTAGTTACACACAGAGCCAATTACAATCAGTGTTGATATGTAATTTTGACAATTAAATACAGCAATTATTTTTCTTCAAATGGAGAAAATATTTGTTTTCTAACAATAACCGATTAGTGATAAACGGTTATGTTAAATCACAAGAGCTTTTCATAGTTTTATGTTGTGAGGCTGAACGGTCTGTTCTGTTACAATTCGTGAAATTGGTTAAGTACCAGAGCTGAACATCCAATCACTCTCGTCGCTGCTATGTACGCAAATAATTCCGTATTCATACATTATGTTAACTCACACTACAAATAAAGTACATCACTGAATTTTAGTTTTTTTAAGTCTAAATTGCCCCTAAGTGGTTGTTCCTACAGATATTTACATAAAATGCAAAATAACGGCTTTTCGTTCACTCTCATTATTTGAAGTTGTGACTCTGTGATTTGGTCTCTACGCACTTCGCAGTTCATATTTGTACAAGAGCAGTGAAGACATCCCTGGAATAATGGATGGCGGAAATTACTTGATAATGAAGAACGTCACATGATCGCTGAGTGGAGAAATTTTCGTCTTGACAAGGAGGGGAAGAAAGGTGACAGAACTGTCACTTTTAATAGAGTTGGTAGACTGTAAAGTGACAACCTGACTGTAAAATTAGTCACAGGATCTTCACAGGACAATAAACGGTAAGAAGTATTCTCTTAATCAATAAGAAATTTCAAGCACATCACACTGGTACTGTTAATTAGCACAGATATGATATTCACATGCATAAATGACATTTACATATCAGCAATGACTTTGATAAAACATTAAACATCCAGACTTTTCGATGTTGGTCTTCTGGGTTGTATGGACTTGTAGATAGATTCCCAGGAATTCCTTGAAGATGGGGACTGGATTCCTCCGACATGTTGATATTTATGCACATGTCCATACGGCGTTACAGCCTAAAAGACCAACATCGACTTCTTCATATCATTGAAAACCTAAAAACTCACACATTAAGACTTCTCTCAATGTTATGTTTTGTTTAAACGACCCAGTAATGAATTATCCTTATGAAGTTCAAATCAAACTTCATATGTTTTCCCAAAAGTAATGTATTTTACACTGAATTCGTATATTTTATAAAACATAAATTCAATTAAGAGTCACAAATTGTATCTGAAACATGTTTCTGTATGAATATTATTAAACAAATGCGTGTTTTTGTGACACCAGTAGTTTGATTATTTGTGCAACAACATTTGTGTGTGCAATTAATATTTATGAATACCTATGCAAAATTACAAAGATAGCAAAAAATATACACCACGTTCGTTCAATTTAGCTGTGTTGGCGGGTGAGTCACAGGGGAAAAATGGGGAAAGATGCTTATAGTTTGTGAATGTGCTTGTGCTAAGGATACCGTATCTAAAAAAACGTTCTTCACGGACGCAAAATTTAATCTTTTCATTCTTAAAATAAAACGTAAGTCAGTGTTGTGCTATTAGAAATGTGCATCTGCACGAGTATTATTGGCTACGGAAAGTTTGTTCATAAACTGCCAACAGTCGCGTGAGGTTCCGTTAGAGTGAATGCAGTGTACGTCTTTCCACGATTGTTAAATACATAAGTTATAGTAAGGTATCTCAACCACTCATAGACTGTATGTGTTTGTTTGTATCTCTCCAGCTACTAAACATGTTCTGAACACTTTTGGGATAAAGTATTGCAAAATGGTTTAGCCGTGTATTCCAATACACGGTAATACACCAGTGCTGCCATTTTCTGAACAAAATTATCAGTCCAATTATCAGTTTTCGTACGTCACAAATATTAAAAATTATTTAATTTCAGGGTTCATATACTTCCATATTTTCTGATTGTGACTGGGTTCAAGACAAACGAAATGAGGAGCGGAATTTTGAATTACCTCATCTTCGTTATAGAATTCCCATTTCCCATCTTTGCAATGCAGAATCAAGACGACTCATCTCTGACAGATCAGAAACTTTTATCAAGGAAAAAACGTTACCTCAGCTTCCCTGAAGGGAGTATTCTTCAGGTACGTTTTGATAATTCACTTCTGTTGCAAGAAGCTACTTACAAATTCTTAGCTAAAATCAAATGTTGTTTATTCTGCGCCCCTACACTTCTCATAATCCTATAATTCTTACCACCATTTGCCTCTCTACATTTTCGCAAATCTATGCAAACAGGTTTAACTGATTTTAACTTAAAAATAAGTCTTACTAATACAAAACAAATATGACTAAGACAGTATGTATAAAATTTTCAATAAAACCATTTTTTTCTGTGAAAGCTAATACTTGTAAAATTTGTTTCTCATTTACAAATTATCACAATTAATATAAATATAAATTTTCAAAAGTTATTTAAACATAGCTCTACATCAGGGATCACAAATCAATTTCCGGTGACGTACAAACTAGAATAAGCTTGCAATTTATAGCGGAAAGCTTATGAATCTACCAACATATTAAAATTTAAATAATTAGTTTACGAATAGATTCAAACATTTTCCAAAACATTGTTTTGGGACATTCCAATTCACAGCCAATACACAGCCGATTGATGAATATGCAATAACTCATGTTGTTGTAAAGTATCATCATTTACACCCGAACTCCTCAATTAACATTCCATCTGTTCAGAATATCAACATTTAGAACACATCGACACTGCACAGAGATTAAATTTAGAGAGCGGAAGTCGTCACGTGCTTCGCAACCACCAGTGAATAATTACATATACTCTGAGGCACACATATAAACTTCGAGCGCACCCCGTGGGCATTTGGATGGTCATTTTTTTTTTCTAGAGGTAATTTCAGAAAGACTTCGCTTGTATAAAGGCCTACTACATTCATTAATTACATGCCCGAATTTAAACTGCATTTGGTTGAAAGTTTCCCTATAAGATCGGCTTTCGGCTTTGACATGCATTCTGTTGATGTCCTGCCGTCGTTTCGATAAATGCTGGAAACGTTATCTTGGATCAAATTTTATAAACTCTTATAATGAAAGGAGAGGAGTCGGTGAGATATTTGTTAATGCGTTGTCCTGGGCGCTATCCGGTGACTGAGAAATTTGTACTGGAAATAAAAGAAAAACAGGCGACCCCAAATTTTACTTAAATTGTTTCCGTCTTCCTGTTGATGTGTTAATAAACGACCGAAATTGCTCAAACCAGAAAATCGATTTTACATAGATACATTCTGCATAAAAGAAACTCTAATAATAATAATTCTTCATCGTAAAGTTATGAAGCATGGATGCTGTGTTTAAGGTTAGACATAAATGGGGAGCATAAAGCATTCGCATTTAAAATGACCATCTCATGATGCTTTTCTTTAATTAAAAAATAATGTGAGGAACCGATAATGTGACATTGAAAAATTATGAATTTGTAAAGTTTATATTTTGGTTTCTTGTTCAACAGCTAGGCTACTGTCTGCAAGTCGCTGGAGTTATTCGTCCAGATTTGATATTTGGTTACACAATTGGAACAAACTGGGAATTACCAACTACCGAAAATTTTGATTTCCGGTTTTACAAAAAGAAAGCTGAAGTTGTTCATCGCAGGCATCGCAGAGAACTTTATGCAAAGTTGGAGCCCATACTGACCACGTTAGTATCTCCGGATTGATAACTGATGATTTATTCATACGTTTTAATCTAATTAAACTCCAGTCCTACCGCCAACATATCAAACAAGAGAATAAAGATTTGAGATTCTCACGACGGTGAAGATGTGTGTGTGTTCACAAGGTTCCGACACCGTGCAAAATTGTAGGGGAGTGTCATCGTTTCGGAGGAACATACTGCCTCCATCTGCATATAATGTTTTCAGATGGAGATAGTATATTTCTCTGAAACGTTGGTACCTCCTTCAA